CATAACGGTTTCAAATACTTATTTCGTTATTTTCATTTGCTTTGGGATAGAGTTGGGGGTGGGGGTGGGGAGGGAGAGGGGCTCACGCCCGTGAGCCCTTCACTACCCACCGCCACTGCGTCATTACCTCCTAAAACTCCCAAAAGAATACCGTAAATTACCGCAACAGGGAGCCTGATATCACACCAGCTGTGCATGACCGCTAGCAACAAACCACCGCAAATCATTGCAATATTGACAACGAGATCTTTCAGGAAAGGGGGCGTGACCGACTTTGTCTAACACTGAGTTGTGGGCAGTTGTAGTTGATTGCCCTGTCAGTATCGAGTCAACTCACAGAATCTGTTTAAGTATCGATAACAACAATTATAGTACATAACAATATAGTTCTTTCCTCTCTTTGGGCCAATCAAAAAAGCGTCCCCAAAATCTGGTGGCGCCCTCTTCGGGAAAGTGCACCCTTTGCGAACATAGTTACCCTACTTGAGTGAAAAAAATCAAAGTGAAACTAACTAGTTTTTGAATAAATTAAAATTAAAATTTCGGAAGAACGCTTTTAAAAAAATGGTTACGCTGACAAGAAACTTCTTCCGGGGCAAGAGGCGACTGTTTTCTTCATTTAAATTGGCTTTAGAATGAGAGGCGAGAGTCATTTTTTTTTTAATGTTAACCCTAAAACTTCGCCCAGAACGAACCCGAACAGTTGATGAACTGCAGTCGATCTGCGCGCGCAAGGGGGTGCTATTCCTATTCTTTTTCTGGAGAAACGAAGGAGAGCCTCAAAACAAAGACTGCAGTGCCATCTGAAGCAATGAACGGACTTCCGTGGACACTTTTTGGCTGAGTGAACCATCTTGTTATGTACTTTCTTTGCTCGAAATAATTTGAGCATTGTCAGTGATTACATTTTCCTCAGAAATGAAAAACAAAAGACATTAATTTTAATTTTGTAAATTTTTCTTTTGTTGTTGTTGTTGTTGTTTTTTTGTTGTTTTTTTTTAGAAATTAAAATAAACTATCATAATAATGATAAGAGTGATAGGACGACAGCAATAGCGAGAACGATAATTATAACGATAATGACAATGACAATGACAATAACACTAAGAATA